TCCACTCAGGCAAGGCTCGGCTTCGGCAACTGACTCCAGCAGCTGCCGCGATGCGGCCCTTCAGCTAGGTCTCAGAAGGGAAAGAAAACACACAGGACAACAAAGAGAGGAAGTGGCCTGGGCCGGCCCACCGTGGGTCTCGTCCGGCCCCCCACCCCCGGCCTGAGCCCGCAGGGGCCGCCATCCACGCAGGCCAGGTCCCGCACCCCAAGGAGACTCGGCTGCGGGACCCTGGGGGTGTGGGAGACAGAGGGTGGCTCCACCAAACACAGCCGCATGGGATCCTGCCCCCAGGAGCCTGGAGGTGGGGCTGCAAGGCCTAGAGACAGAAACCAGCCCAGGCCCAAGAGATGGCCATGGCCGGAAGGGAAGAATGCAGGGGTTGAAAGCAGTCCCCTTCCTGGACGGAATGCGCAGGGACTCCGGACGGAGCTCCAGGCATGGGCTGTGTCTCAAGATGTTGGACATTTCGCAAGCCAAGGTGTTGTCTGAGTAGGAGTCAGGGACAGCTGGCGACCGTGTACCGGGAGCGTGGCCCACGCCGACTTGTCTGATTTAACTTGGAAAAACGGGCTTGGTCCTGGCCAGTTTGGCTTCTGCTCCAAGAGCATTATCCCCACTTTAACGCTTCCCTAGTCTTTCTCAACCCTTCGGGACACCCTACCTTCGAGCCCTGAATTTCTCACATGCAGAGTGGCCAAGTTCATCTCAGGGGACTTGCTGCCCACCCACGCCGCAGGCCAGGAAGTGGGGAGCACGCCTGCCTCCTCAGCACCCTCCACCACTGTGCCGTGGGAACTGGCAGTGGGCAGAGGCCCAGAGGAGGGCAGGAGCTCCCCGGGTCACACGGTGTGCAGCCAGAGCCCAGGGCAGGGGAAGCCCTCGTGTGCCCCTTTCTCCAGGCTCTGGTTTTGCCAGAGCCCAGGGTTCGGGGCAACCAGGACTCTTGGGGGTAGCTCAGCAGCTGGGCTGTTCTGGGAGGTTGGCCGCTCTCACCTGACGGCATGCAGGCCCTGCTCCATTGACCGGGGGTGCCAGGGCCTGGCCAGGGGGCTCCCCCTCCATCTCCCTCCCCAGGCCTGAAGCACCCAGCCAGGACAGCCCCGCGGGTGGGCAGGGCGGCCAGTGAATGGGAGGCACTGTGGCCCCTCCTGGAGGGCAGGGCAGGAGGGCAGCGAGGAGCCTGCAGGCCCAGAGGAGGGCCTCCCTCCTCCCCGCCCCCACCCCGGCTGGCTGGGCTCCCGCAGCAGCCGCATCCTTATTTCATCGGCCTCAGTGAGAGGTGGGTCTGCCACGCCGCAGCATCCGCTCAGCCCGCAGCAGCTCGCAGGACTCAGGCTCTGCCACAGCCGCCGCTCACCAGCCGCCATGGATGTCTTCAAGAAGGGCTTCTCCATCGCCAAGGAGGGCGTGGTGGGCGCCGTGGAGAAGACCAAGCAGGGGGTGACGGAGGCAGCTGAGAAGACCAAGGAGGGCGTCATGTATGTGGGTGAGTGGGGCAGGTGGGCATCTGGGAGGGGCGAGGACATGCCAGTTGTCGGTCCCCGGGCCGCAAGCCTCCGCCCCAGGCGCCTATTTGCCTCTGGCCTCTTTAGGGCCCCAGGGGTCTCTGGGTCAGGACAGCGGGAGAGACACTCAGCCCCAGACACAGCCCAGCACCCGTCTGAGCACACAGAGGCACGTCCGGAGACCCCCTCGCCTGGGGTCCCTGAGACTGGGCTCCCTGAGTCTGTGGACCTGGGCACCCTGGTGCCTGGGGACCCTGAGACTGGTGACCCCTGTCTGGAGACCCTGTTGCCTGGGGGTGTCTTAGGCTGGGGGTCTTGAGCCTGAGGACCCCTGAGCCTGGGGATCCCAGAGCTGGAGCTGCACAGGTCCCCCACGGCCCCGGGATAACCGTGGGGCTGGGAAGAGGAGCCCCCCTGGGTCCCCTGGGAAGGGGAGAGGAGACGGCCATGACTCAGCCTTTGTCTGATCAGTCCTGCTGCTCCCAGGCCGGCCACACCCAGCAGAGTCTGGTCCAGTCGCTGTCCCCACCTCGAGCCTGCTCTCTTCTCTTCCCTTCCTGTCCTGTCCCCTTCATGTCCGTCGGTTTCTTCCAGACACAGCAGGAAGCGACTCTTTGAAGGGGCTGCCAGCCCCAGACACTGCCCACCCCTCCTGGGGGCTGTCCGGCCGTCCCGTGCGTGTTTACCTAACTGTCCCCAACACTGGGGGGTGGGCCTGAGCTGAAGTCCCATTTCCTCCCCAGGCACCAAGACCAAGGAGAACCGTCCCGTTTCCTCCCCAGGCACCAAGACCAAGGAGAACGTTGTGCAGAGCGTGACCTCAGGTGAGGTGCCCTCTACCAGGGGACGCGGGCTGGGACCCCAGGACTCCTGCACCCTAGTACTGAGGACCCAATTACAAGGCCCCAGGCCCTGAGGCAAGGCGGGGGGGGGAGGCTCCTGTGCCCTGCAGCCACAGAGCTGCCCTGGAGTGGGGAAGGGGGCAGCTGGGGTCCCAGTAGAGCCAGAGACTAGGGCCAGGAGAGGGCTGGGGGGCCACCTTGGCTGGCCGGCCCGTGGGGAGGGTCGGGGCCAAGGCCATCCGAGTCCTTGCACAGTGGCCGAGAAGACCAAGGAGCAGGCCAATGCCGTGAGTGAGGCTGTGGTCACCAGCGTCAACACTGTGGCCACCAAGACCGTGGAGGAGGCGGAGAACATCGTGGTCACCTCTGGGGTGGTGCGCAAGGTAAGCCCTGATTCCCGGCAGGCTGGCCTCTCCCCAGGACCAGAGAGGGTAGCTGGGAGGCATCACCACCCCTGGGCTCGTGGGGAACAAGGACGACAGCACTGGGGGTGTGAACTGGGGAGGGACTCTGAGCTTGGGGTTCTCTCCCCTTCACACTGGAGTCCTCAGGCCACCCTGTGAGTCGTTTGGGGACCTTCTCCAGACAGAGTGAGGTCCAAGCCACGCCTTCTCGGCCAGCCCTGGCATGCTGGCCAGCTGTGTGCTAGGGGACCAGTCCCCAGTGACTGACTGTGGCCCGTGGCTTGAAAAGCACACCAGGTGCTTACGCAAGCACATGCATACCCAAGGTCCTGATGGGAGGAGAGGCAGGAGAGAGCTGCACAGGACGGGAGCACACGCCCTGCTTCCTGTCTCCCTACTGAGCAGGCCCGCCCCCCTCTGGTATTAAGGTACCCCCTAGATGGCACTCAGCAGGTGGGAGAGACGCATTTTCTAAGTGAAAAGCGGACCCCACGTGGTGACAGGCAGCCTTCCAGGCCCAGCCCATCCTGCATCTGCCCACCCACTGACCGGGTCCCTGGGCCTGGCCGCCGCCTCCAGGAGCAGCCATGAAGCAGCGCCCCCTGGTGGGCAAAGGCAGCGAGGGCCCGACCCCACCCTCCGTGCTTCCGTGTGTGTGTGTTTCCGTGACTGTTCGTGTGTGCATGTGCGTGCGTACGGGAGGATGTGCGTGTGTGAGTGTACCCACCGCAGACGGCTCAGGACCGGGGCGGGGAGGGGTGTCCCTGCCCGCGGAGCTGACGCAGCGCCTCTCCGCCTCCCGCCAAGCGGCTCGGTTTGAAGCGTTGGCACCTCCTGGCCCACTCGGCGGGCAGGCACTCCCACGAGGCGGGGTGGGAACCACGGCCCGAGGTTAAGTGCTGTGCCCTCCCGGGGCGGGCCGGTGAGCTGGCGATCTCGTTCTCGCTCTGCGCGCTGAGACTGTCCGTGTAGGTCGTGGTGGGGACGGGCATTCCAGCCTGGGGCGCGGTCCCGGACCCCCTCCGCCACAGGCTGCGGGGCGGCGCCGTGGGCCCGGAGGGGGGGCCGGCGG